TTATAAAAATATATGTATATATATATATATATATATAATATAGTTAATATTAATAATATATAATAGACTAAATATAAATAAATAATAATATAGAAATTTTTTAGATAATAAAAATTAATTATATATAATATTTTAAAATTTCAATGAAATTGACATAGAATAATAATAATAATAATTAAAATATATATGTATATTTAGTTTAAAATTTATTTATTTATTATATAAATTATTTTTTATTTATTTTATTTCATAAAAAACATGTAAATAATAATTTTATTTTATTAAAAATAAAATATCTTTTACTTTTTAAATCAATAATAATAAATAATTAATATTATTATATATAGTTTTAAAATAACTAAGTATAAAATTAATTTTTTTTGGAATTTTAAAAACAAAAATAAATAAAATATTAAAAAATTAATATCTTTAAAACATATAAAATAAATTTATAATATAATATAAAATAATAAATTTAGTTAATGTAAAAGTTTTAATAAAGTTAATTTTTTTAAAAACTACTTATATAAATTTTTTATAATAAAATTAATTTTGTTTCATATTATTTTATTATATTTTAAATATTATTAAAAATTAATTTATAAATATATAAAAAAACATTTTTATTTACTAATTTTATTGAGAATATTTATTATAAATTTTATAAAATTATATTAAAAAAACCAAAAATAATAAATTTTTGAAAACAATTTAATGGTTTTATCTAAAAAAAATAATAATAAATTAATATTTTATTTATATTATATTATAAAAAAATAATCATGAAATAATTAAAAATTATTAAAATGAACTTATACATATATTGATTAATATAATTACTATTTATAAAAAAATCATTAACTTAACTGTAAGATATTTAATTTAAATATATTTATAAATAAATAAAATCTTTAAATAGATTATACTTTTAGTATTCATATCAATGATAATATAAATAAATAGAACATAAAATTATAATATATGGAAATATTGATAATTACACTAAATTAAATAAAAAATTATTTAATTTAAAGTAAAAAAAATATATAATTAAAATTAAAAATTTATATAATTATTATAATTTTAATAGGTAAATAATTATAATTCAAATTATCTTAAATATAATAAATTTTTAAAAATATTTATAAACATAATTAAATATAAATATAAAAATTTTTATTATTTATTTATAAAAACATTAAGAATACATATATATAAATAATTTAATAAAATAAATATATTTATTCATATTTTAATTATTAAAATTAATATACAAATATATTAAATAAATTTATTATAATAAATGTCAATATATTTATTTAAATATTTATATATATATTTTTTTTTATAAATAATTTATAATTATAATTATATAATATAAGATATTAATATTTTTTATATATCATTAATACTATAAATAAAAAAATTAAATAAATAAAAAATATTTTGAAGATATAAAAAATAAGAATAAACTATAAATGTTATCAATAGCATTTTTAAATAAATATAAATATAAAATATTGTAAAAATGATTTATTAATCAATATATGTAAAATAAAAAAATAATAATAAAGAAATATTTATCAAAATAATATTTAGATCTATCTTAATTTTAAAAAAATAATATTAATATTTTTCAATAAATAATTTTATATTACACAATCTTAATAATTTATAATAACGATAATATTAAATTTTAATTATTCTATTATATTTAAACATCTAAATAAATAAATAAAAAATATGATTTTTTTAATAAAATTATTTAATGTAAAGTATTAAAAAAAGAATATTTATGAATATAAATTAATAAAAACATATAAATGCGAATATTTGTAATAAATACTTTTTTTTATAAATTAATATGTAAATTATAATATAAGAAATACACATTAATAATTAAGTTTAAAAAAAATTATATTTGTTAATAATTTGTTTTTAAAAAATTAAAATGATATATTAAAAATAAAAATAATAATAATACATAAATATACAAAAAAAAAATATTAATAAAAACAAAATAAAAAAACATTAATAAATATATTAATATTATTTACTTTATCTAAATTTCAATGTATTGAATAATAAAAATATTAAATAAATTGTATCAAAGAAAATTAATAATTTGATTAACATGGTGAAGGTAATTATTTTAAATAAATTTATTTTACTGATAAACTTTATTAAATATTTTGTTAATGAATTTAAATATAAAGTCTTTGTTTAACTTGTTAGAAAGATTTATGCTATCATTATCTTTTATTATTATTATTATTATTATTATTATTATTATTTTATTATTTAGAAAAAATTATTTCAATATACATTTAAATATTAAAAAATATATGTATTGTTTATTATTATATTTAAATAAATAATTAATTTATAAATATAACACAAAATTTGTATTTAAGATATAAGTATGCAATAAGTAAATCTTTACTTAAATTTTAATTTATAAAATATACATATAAAGTTTAAATATTTAGATAAATAATTATAATATTTAATTTTTTTCATAAATATATAAAATTTTTTTTATTCATAATAAAAAATAATTCTAGAAATTTTATTTTTTAAAATCTTATAGTTTTCTTATGATTCCTTTAAGTCTTTTTTTTATTGCCTATAATTTAAATATATTTTATTATTATTAAATATTTCCTTTTTATATATTATAAATATTTACGAAAACTTATATTTTATATTACATAGTTTAATTTATTTATTTATTATGATTATGCAATATTATTATAAACTGATATGAAATCTACAAAAAATATATAAATAAATAGTTTTTTATGCATTAACATGTTATAATATAAATATATACAGTATTTAAAAAAAAAATATTATAAAAATTAGCTTAATAATTAAAAAAAGACACTTTTTTGTATTAAAGCTTTTTATAGTTATCTAATTTTTGATAAATTAGAATAAATATTCTAACTATCGACTCATTACATATTTTCATTTACTATATATATATATATTTTTAAATAATAATACATTCTCATTTTTGAATTTTAGATTTTATCTTTGTTTCCTAATATAATTTAATATGAAATTATACAATTTAAAATAAGATATCTTAAAAGAATGGACAAAAAAATATATTAAAAAATTCTAAAATAAAAATATTAAATAAATAAAATAAAATGAATACATAGCTTTGATTACATTATAATAGTAATTAATCAAATTCAAAATAATAGATACAATTATAAAAAATTTAATGAGTAATAGAGAAATTTAATTTAAGAAAGAGCTTAAATGAAGTAATATTAATTTTATTAAAAAATAAATATTTATATTATTAGAAAAAAAAGAAATAAATATTTTTTGATGTGAGATTTTTTATATTATATTTAATTTTTTATATAAAAATCAACTTAAAAAAATGAATAATGGCTTTTTTTCTTTCTTACTGAACCTATATAAATATAATTTTTGATTATTTCTAATTTATAAAAATTGAATATTATGAAATATATTTAATATAATTAGATTAACTTTCCTAAAAATTAAGAGTATGAATAAAATATTTAAAAACTCCAAATAATATTCCATTCTTATTCAAAAAAATTTTTATAATGTAATATGAGCAAAACATACTTACCAAGAAAATTAATTTATCATAACCAAGAGATTTATATTTTTTTAAAAATGATATAAAAAAAAAGGAAAACTATATCAATCTACGAAAAAAATATAAAGAATAAAAAAAAAAAA